ATATATTTAATGAAAGAGAAAAAGAGAAGGTAGATAACTCATGTTAGGTAAAATTCCGAAACATTGATCACGATTAGTTTACAGGTTTGATACAATGTGCTTATACCTCCAGAAATTCAGTTCAATTCAACAGTCAATACATCGATGGGATTCAAACTGACAATTCAGTCTCTCTGTGTTAATGTAGTATGGCTACATGATCTTATGTACCTACGTACCAAGTTCTACGTTGCTGCTGATTGACTCACTAACATGTACATGACAGCGCACATACATTATGGGTGAGATAGAATAATCACGTCAATAAAGTTAACATCTTTTCCACAATTTCATTATTAGTCATCAATGTGTTAAGGAATATGATGTCAACATTTTCAAATTATCTATCTGCAGTCATCTGATTGGATTTCTTCCATCTTCCCTGGAACCATCGATATAAAAATATCTCTAAGATGAATGAATACGTCCGAACGCATTCTATTGTCAATGGTCTATTACCCTTGTGTAATGAGTTTCTAGTCAAATTATTATGGTGATATTTGCTAACAAGTTTTTACAACCATTAAATGTTGAATTTTATGATTGTTCACTCTTTTTTTTAAACTGAATCTCACAAGGTTGCAAAATTTTACTAATTTCAGTTCAAATATCAATTATTGTTTAATGAAAATTTTAATGTTTGATTTATGAATAATTTTTACAATTGTAATCATGCAACATCATGTCTCAACAACTGTTTTAGTATCATCATTTACAACCATTCAATATTCAATAAGAATTAATTATGATTTATTTATTTTCTTTTTTTACGCTTCAAGACAAAATACACGCAACTAATGATAATTGAAAAAAAAACAAATTGTACTTGATAATTTTTGTTGTTGTTGTTGTTTAAAACGGATTAATCCATTTTGTCGATAAGTGGGTGGAATCTAATTTAAAATTTGAATCAGCTGATGTCTAGGGAAATAGAGTGATAAGTGATAAAATATTGCTGATAAAAATAAAAATGCTGGCTTTTGATGATTCGTTAGCGTATTAAATTTAGTGGTTAATTGATTGATCGAATTGTCAAATGAATGCAAGAGAACAATTTCTACAAACTCTCTTAATATTCTACCTTCCTGATGACTCGGGTAAGAATTCAACAAGTTCTGAAAGAGAAGCTGTGACTAATAGATCAAAAAGTAATTACTGATAATAAATACTGATTGAACGATTGTGACGTAATAATCAATGCTGAATTATAAACCATTGATTAGTAACTTAGTGGTATAAGTTTACGGAGCTAGAGGTTTCAGTCTCGATAGTATTTTAGGTTGTCAGTAAATACTGTCAAGGATAAATAGAGAATTTGTTAAAACGAGACATTTATTCAGGCAGAGTTTTGGAGGTTTTGTGTTTCTACACATTTGAAATCATCAATCAATCATTGTTATACCACCATTAGAAACCTGGAAGCACTGGACGGCCGTTTCGTCCTGGTATGGGAATCAGTAGTGCGCATCCACAACTCCTGCACCTCGCAGGATTCGAACCCGGGACCTTCGGTATTGTGCGCGAACGCCTAACCATCGGACCACTGGGCCGGCATCCAACAATTTTTCAGATTGTTATTAATAATAATAGGATTATTGATATCTTTGTATCAGGTGTTGTTTAAACATTCATGTATATGATGAGTTCAATCCTTGATTTCAGAGTCATGGATGAGTGCCTATGATGAACTGAAAACAATGTCAAAACAGTTGTTTAATAATGTTATATTTAAAATGTATTGGTGATTCAAACTATAAAGATTCTATGATATCCACGTACCTACCTATAATAATAATAATAATTAAATCATTCACTGAAAACAGTTTGAAGTTAAATACTTCTTAATCGTTTAATATATGTATTTCAACAATCAAACAATCATTATTTTGTCTTTTTTGTCTCTTTCAGTCTTCATCTATCTATTCACATATTGATTCCGATTCAACTGTCAATGAATTATCCCAATTTCAGTTGGATAGATTCAATTCAACTTTATCGCCTACAACACTTTCTGATTATGCAGGAATTAATAGAACTATGCTGAATTCTTTACAAAATAACAGCAACAACAACATAAATGTGAACAATAGAAAGGAAATTTTACGTGATTATTCACAACCAACTAGTTTGGCATATGCCGCCAGTTCAATTTATCCATTTATTACAAAACTAGATAATCCTGTTAGTATACCTTTAATAGGAGGATATCAAGGTAAGTCCTTATATATGTGCTACAACATATCTAAAAAAAATTGGACATTTAATTCTTTTTGTTAAAAATAAACAAATAAAAACCAAATCAAATAGAAATTGTTTTAATCAATTAAAAAGTTCTTCGATTCAGTAGTCTCGTAACATAAAAATTAAAATTAATTGAAATATCATCGTACAAAGAGTAGAAATATGTTGACTGTAACAACGTGTTGTGGCAGTTCTACCGTATAGGACGGAAACTTGGAGAACTACGAAAGCCATCATCCAGAAGATTGACATATTCATTAATAGTTGTCTACGCAAAATACCACTTAGGCTAATATTGTTTAAGGACGTGGTTCCTGATAATCTTGAAGACTTTATTAGAGTAACGTTTGTTATAGATTATATTGCTAGCGAAATAACCAACGGAATAATCCCTAGAAATAACATGATCATCTATAGGAAACCTGGGCTGCATTTCTACAGTTGAAAAATATCTGGAACTCCAAACAACTTTCAACCAAAACCAAAATCACGATTTTCAATACAAATGTCAAGACAGTTCTACTGTATGGAGCGGAAACATCGAGAACTACGAAAGGCATCATCCAGAAGATACAAGTGTTTATTAACAGTGGTCTATGCAAAATACTTCGGATTCGTTGGCCAGACACTTTCAGCGACAAACTACTGTGGGAGAGAACAAACCAGATTCCAGTGGAGGAGGAAATTCAAGAAGAAGCGCTGGAAGCAGATAGGACATAATTTAAGGAAATCACCCAACTACGTCACAAGACAAGCCCTCACATGTAACCCTCATGGTCAAAAGGAAAGAGGAACGCTAAGAAACACATTACGCGGGGAAACGGAGACAGACATGAGAAAAATGAACAAAAATTGGACAGAACCGGAAAGGGAAGCCCATGACAGAGTTGGTTGGTCAGCGGCCTTTACTCCGTTGAGGGTAACAGGCGTAAGTAAGTAAGTAAGTAAGTAAGTTACAACGTGTTGTATTGTAACAATGAAAGTCCAAACAATTTTCCAACTCCAACTCATTTATTTCCGTATCAATAAAAACAACTTTCTAATAATTTTTTTTCTGTAAAGACATTCGAAGTTGTAACAGAAAATTACCAATAATTACTGTAATTGTTAGTCAAGAGTAAAATACCATATTCAAAACTAAACTAAATAAAATGTAATGAAGAATATCAATGTGAATTTTGTACAATTAATAATGACAGTATGATTTATAGCTCTATTTCATAATTATTCAATAAACTATAATACAATTCATCAATAGAATTTTTCTGTGGCCTGGAATCCGACTCCAAATTAGGACGAACAATTAAATATTGCTTGGAATAATAAATTCCCGCCAAAATTGTCATATCTCATTCTTGGTTGAATCCCGTTTGTGCAACGGCAATTGTTGAAAGCCCTAATACGACCTAGTAGATGAATTTTTCGCATAGATATTCATTTTTATCAGACAGACTGTTAAAGTGAAGCGTGAAAACGAAGCGAAACAAAGCACAGAAAGTAATGTGATGAGGTGTGATGACTAAGTAATATTATAGTCAGACAAAAATAAACTAGACATGTGATAAGCTATGTGATAAGCAATGCACAATATGCACTCAAGCGAATAACTGACTAGTTCCACAGACATGTGAATAATAAATAACTCATGAAGAGTTGGTTAATCAATTTGTCCAAAAATCGGGACAAATCATGTGAATTCAACGTATACTAGTCTTTTGTTATTCAGTATATAAGTTTTTCATTTCAATCAGTAAAACTATGATAACTGTGCTGAATAAAATAAAATGATTTTTATCTATTGGAAATGAAATTAAATATTTTTTTTCACCTTACTAAAATAATAATTACTATTCATTTCTATTGAAAAATTTCATACAGTTTATTGTTTAAACAAATTTCGTGTAAATTCATAAAAATATAAAAATAAATATTATGAGATGAAGTTTATTGATTTTTATTCAGTTAAACTTTCAATTTTTCATTATAAGTCATGTATTGTTTAAGTGAATAAAATTGATTACAGATTTAATTTTATGTTAACTGACAAAAAGTTTCATACAAATAACTGTCTATATAAATATAAATAAATCTAACTTATTGACAAACGAATACAAATTGTTTCAATTACATGAGACAAAAGAATAGGAATGATAATAATAATAATAATAATAATAATAATAATAATAATAATAATAGAAACTAAATGTTAAGTCAGCAGGGTCACATTGAGTTTGAAGTAGGGCTCACTACCTTACTGTCCCACTATCTGACTTCGATGTTTGTGAACATTTGAATATGCTCAGAAGTAAATCTCTCCTTTCAATATCTGTATATCATAATTAAGCGAACCACGTTTGTGTGGTGGCAGTAATAAGAAGCCGAAATATGGATTCGGTTGGATGAGTTTATTCCAAGCAATCGTTCACCCAGACAAGTATGAGAATGAAAAGCATGCAAGCAAAGTGAAGCGAAAACGAGCGAGCCAACAACCGCGATAAAGTATTACTCAGTATTTACAGTTCAGCAAAATTAGCTGGACAAATTGTAAGTGAAGTAAGCGGTACACACACACATACTCGAATAGATACAACCAAAATAAATGCGAATAATTTATAAAGTCAAAAGTGTATAGTAATTCCATAAGAATGAATTAGTTAATTTGTCCGAAGGCTTCGGACGATTCCTGTGGGCTGGACATAAAAGGACAACCACTACACTAGTCAGTATTAATGATAATAATTATTTTCATATATATCTCACGAAGTGATTTTGGCAAGAGCATTATATAGCTGTTTTGTGATAGGAATCAACTCCTCAGCTGTGTCTATTTATGATCACACCATCGAGTATCGAACGTAGGAACATTGTTCTCCTGCATGGATGTTTAATATCTACACCATTGAACTATGATTTCAAGTATTTAGATACTACAACGACTATGAAAATGATTGCTTAATGGTATAAGAGTTCGGTATCTTCACGGAGACTGGAGTTTGAGTTTAATCTCTAATGGTAGATACTCTGATGCTTCCTGGTGAATCGTCCTATAATAGGAGAAAAAAGCTGTTCAGCATCCCCTGGTTTTACAATAGTAGTCCAGTTAAACATAGTTCGAGATTTAACTATCACATTATTCCGCCGACCAGGACTCTCCAACCAGTTCTACCTAATCGCTGTACATTCTTTTGATGTCTGCTTCCAATTATTCGCCCTTCCTCTTCTTCTTTAGCAGTATTTAAAAGTGCTGAGAATAACCCCTGATACTTGGATAGCCATATTGACAAAGACTCGAATGTCTTATTGGAAGATGATACGACAATAAGTACCAATTATTATAACTCTAAAATTCAAAGTAAAAATTTTACCAAAATAAATAATAAACTCTTTCAAAATCATGAACTGATCATTGTTAGACCATCATCGAAAACTGGAAGTACTGTATATCTCTTTTGTCCTAGTATGATACTCACCAGCAGCGGGCATCAATGAATATGATGAGATAGTTCTAGCGATTAAGTGAAAGATATCAGTTAACATCGTGCATTAGACAAATGAAACAAAACCACTTAATATGCTATAAACAAAAGGAAAGGAATAAAGGAAAGAGCAAAAGTGATTTGTTCAGTATCGCAGTGTCACATAATGTAGATGAACGTTTATCTTTTGCTTTATTCAAGCTGAAATGTCAAGTACCATCTGCTTTTGCATAACTTTAATGTTCGGCATATTTATCATTCGGTTACCAATCGAAAGATTTACTGAATCATCCATATGTATTGTATGTGTGTGTGTGTGTGCAGTGATTTTTTGCATAGCACATCTGGTTAGTTTAAAGTTATTCAATGTTTTATAGATGTTAAACATGCAAAACTACATCTAATTTGTATTAAAACAAATCATAATGCTACTTAAATTAATTAAGTAGAATATTTTTATATTTGTAATTAATTGATTGCATTCATTGAAATGCAAACAACACTTTCTGAATACAGAATTAGTAATTGTCAATTGAATGAATGACCTTCTCTAATGAAAATACACAAATAACATTTTTTTTTCAAAAATCTGAAATTATTATTTATGGATGATAGGTTTTAAATTGGCGATAAATTGTTTTTAAATCAGTAAAGTAAAAAATTACTAACTGTCACCTTTAATTTGAATCTTTATCAATGAATCATCGTTTCCCATTCGTTTTTTTTACGGTAAGCGCCCATTGCTGTTCTCTTAAACGCCCTTAAAATAAATTTTCTCTGTTCTAAATAGATAAGTATTCATTTACCAAAGATATCAAGAATTAAAATAAAAGCACTTGTTTAACTAACCATACATTATTCAAGAAGTAGAAGTGAGTGAAATAAACCCAAAAAATACAAAGATAAAGGTGATGAGTAATTCAGAAGATAAGGAGTTGAGAGAACACAAAGAATGAATGCACAGGCACCATTTTAGGCCATGTCATTCAGGGTCTGTAACCATTGACTACTATCTCCTCGAGGGGCCCCAACCAGTTAGTAGACACCTACCAACATGACTCAATTCAGTTGTCAGTGACTTTATGAATTTGTGTCATGTTCTGGTTTGGCCAAAATAAATTTTCTCTCCATACTTAGTAGAAAAATATTCATATACCAATAATTTCAAGCACTAAAAAAAGTATTTTGTTTAGCTAACTAACTAACCAAACATATATACATGAATTGGTTTTTGGCTTTCTTATCATTATTAGTTCGAAATAGACCACCGAGTAGATAACACAGTTTGGTTAATAGATATCAGAGTTTATTATTTTGAATGAAAACAGAACAGTCATATACGCACTTTGTCAACTTTATCAACAGTATGATATTTTGTTTCTTCAATATATATATACAAACAACTAGTGTTCCGTGAATTACTTTTGTCAATGAATAATGTCTAGGAATTAGACCATTCTTTGGTTTGTTTACATACATAAAAATTAATGGTAATATGGTCTATTAGTTAGTTATTAATAATGCTGATCAAGCCTATCAGTAACACTGAACATAACTATTGATTACAATAAATAATAGTATTACTCAGGTCAGCTTCATTAACAGAAGCATATATCCGTTGTATTTGATAAACGAATATATGACCAGTACAAAAACATTATCAATATTAGTAGTTTATGTTAAAACCCCATAAAAAATATCTGGTTTTGTATATTCAGTATATTATAGTTACAAGAACTGTAAGTCCGTACATACTAAAATGTAAATAAAAACCTAAATATTATGTTAGCACAGAATAATCACAATGCTGAAACCGTTTTTTCTTTTCCTGTAAAATTGCTAATCGATTACTGGATATTGATTTATTATTTTAAATCAAAAAAATAATTGGACGCATTCTATTGGCTGCAGATGGTCATACTGACTGACTGACTGATTCATCAAACATGACAGCTATCTTGTCATTTATTTTTGATTGGATGCAGTTCGTTAATTAAGTACTTGACAATTTATAGGGCAATCAGCATTAGTTATACAACCAGTTGTTTAAATCAAAATAACTATTCGAAATCCTTTGACAGTACCATCCAGTAGCTAGAAAATATGTATATTAATCAATTAATTGAACAAAACATTACTCTATTGTTTTCATGTTTGTACTTACAACGTCAAAACGTCTACCTATCTGGCCTGATTTTATGATCAGTTTAATTATCTTCGTTTTAGGCCAGATCTTATTCGAACACTTAGTCTGGTTTACATCGAATATCACTCAGTCAACTCAAAAATTACTTTAATTGAGATAGTCACAATTTATTATTGTCATGATTTGTAGAAGTATAGCATCCGTTAACCTGCTTATCATGTTGAACTATATAAGTCTGTGATCGATTTTGATAATAAGATTGTAGTTTTTAGAAGCCAAATATTAAGACACATGCAATGAACATAACACATTATCATAGTTTATCTTTTTGTTTAAAATTTTCTAGTAAAATGTACATAATTCAAATTCTCATATCTTAATATTTTCAATGAGATCCAAAGCTTATTTAGAGTTCATTGAACTATGCATTCTAGACTATTCAGGCAATCCTTCACTTATACCTCTTTCATTCTAATGAATATTTGTGGGGATCACTGTACTTTTTAGTTCAAATTACAGATCAATTTTAGTTATAAAATCATAGAAAACCAAGAAACGTAATGTACATTACGAGACTTTTAACCTTCAACATCCACAACTTCTTAAAATGGTGAATCCAAGGTCATCAAGCATTCAAAAAAAAGCTCCTGAATTGACTCTGAGTATTTTAAGTTTGTCCTGGTATTCTTATTTTTATTAAAATAAATATATTACTGATATGTTTTTAATTAATATAAACTAACAACCGCTCATTCAAAATTTTTATCATTTTCTTATTTAAAAATTATTCAACAAATTGAATTCCATAAAGAACCTATTCAACATTCAATCCAGTCAGGATTAATCCCGAACGATGTAAATTCATTTTATACAACTGTCCCACCATTTCGACATTTACAATATCCTTTCAATGGAAGCCTATCAATGAATCCATCAGATTATAGCATTTTAAATCAACTCAATAATATGTCTGTCAATCAATTAAATCATAAAAAGTTTATTCAACAGTTGGATTTTATAAAAAATCTTCAATTATTTGATAAACAATCAATATTTCCCGGATCAAATCCACTTGGTTATTTTTCTACACCATTTTCGACATATACAGACAATCTGACAGCTACACTGACCTTACAACAATGGACAGAATTAATGAGTAAACCGGAAACTATCGAGCAAAGCAATGCAAAACTAGCCAAAGATCCATATAAGAAATTCGATAGTAAAACAAATTTAAAACAATACGATGTACAATTAAACAAAACAGAACAACAAAATCTATGCTATGAGAATAATAGACAGCATAAAAGTCCAAGAGAAAATGTAAGTTTTAAAACCTTTTTTTCTTAATTTTGGGTACAGTCTAAAGTGACTGTATATTTTTCACCAACCATTTGAAGCAACCAAAAACTATCTGACTATTAACTAATGATTAGTCGTAATCGCAGTGAATCGGTTGATGTTTCTTAGTGTAAACTAAGGCCTAACGTATAATACAAGGGACATATCAGTATGTGTTGTATTACTTTATGAATTTACGTACTGCTGACCTAAGTCATTTCGTTATATGTAAAATGTCTCGGTTGAAGATATTACGATAACGGTAATCAGTAGTTGGAAATAATTTAACAAAAGTGCTGAGTATTGGTCGAAATAACGCAGCTAAATTCCGAATTGATTTTTCTCCGGATGCTGAGTTCATGTATACTGTTACACAAACCATTTCATCATATTTCTTTATATCGTATTCTCAATAGCTAGGTCTTTCCAATTCATTTTGGTAATTTTATTTCCTGATGTCTTATTAATGCAACTTGTGCTGACACACATTTAAGCGAGGCTAAAAATAGAACTAGTGAAATTGAATAACTTAGCAAGCCTTTGTGATTTATGACCAAGTAATCCTCCGTTAATTATCTACCTTTTATTTTCTAATGTCACCAATGGCTTCAATCTTCAATAAAATATTGTATGTGGCTGCATTAAATTCACGATAGGTCTTAATATTTTAGTGGCCCACAATCTGATTCCTATTTGAACAGGCACTTAAATATACTTTGAAATCAATCTTCCCTTCAATTTCCGTATATCATGCTCAGGTGAACCGTGCTTGTGTTACAGCGGTAATGGGAAGGAAGTCAAAGTACAGATTTGGTTGGATGAATTTATTTCAAGCATTCATTCATGCAGAAAAATATGAGGATGGAAAGAGTGCAAATAAAATCTAGGCGAAATGGAGTAGGCTAGTGAGCCAACTCAATGCAATGAAGCATGACTAAGTAGTTATGATCAAATTAAATAATCCAGATAACTATTAAGGGAAGTTAGCAGTACACATACACACATGAATAAAAATAACCAAGATAAAAGTGAATAATTGGAAAAGTTGAAAAGCATGTGAATAATCGGAGAAGAATGGATTGCACAGTTTGTCGAAAGGCTGAGAGAAGCTTTGTATTAGTAAACATGCTACACTCATTTTGTAATCCAACCATCAGTTATCTAAATGAATGATATGTAAGTTCGCTAATTGAAAATCACTTTCGATTTTCAAATTTTGTGCAAGTAATTAGCGATTTCCCTGCTGTTCGCCAAATTTTCATATGAACTTTCCATGAATTATTCGTTTTGACAACACTACAAAAAGAAACTTTAAGGCTTTGGTCAATTCAAGATATTTTATGTGAATTACTGAGTAGTAAGATATTATTCAAACAATGATTCAAAACACTACCTTGGATCAAATCTAACTTCCGTTATATCATATCATTAGGTGCTTGGCATGTTAGACTTTTAATTGACAATTTATTATACACGTATTATTGGTAGTGATATGAATCGAAGTTTACTGTCATTTGTCATTGAAAATAAAGTTAAATTTAATATTACTTAATGCTTTTGTTTTATACTACTTATATTAATTAAAGTAACCAAAATCATTTGTCATGCTGTAATTTTTAGCTAAGTTCCAGTTTTGCCGACAGTGGAGTTGACCTACCAAATACTAGTAATCTTGAAGCAGATTCACTTGAACATAATTCAAATAAAAATGACAGTTCAGAGGAAATTCATACAAGACGAATGAGTTTAATAAGGCCCATTGAAAGAGTTTCATCAGGACCATAACTAATCTGAATTTGTGTTATAGCGAATTCATACAAAAAAGAGAGAATATCAATGACCATTAAAACATCTACTTGTAGACAAGTATATCTCTATCTTTCTTCATATACATATATTTATATATAAATAAGTTTAATTCATCTAGGTACTTGATTATGTAAATTTATTTTATATTATGATACCTCAGAAAAAGAGGACTGTTCAATCATTTATTTATATATAAATATATATTTATTTACAGTTGCATGAATAATTGCTTCTAATCAATTTATCAAGTTATTATTGAATTATTATTATTACTATTATTATTATTGAATTGAATTTCCATCTGTTAAATTGCCAATGATGAATTGCACCTAACTTGAATTGAAATGTTAGATGATTGAATAATTTGCATTACGGGGTTGTGAAGATTGTTAAGTTACACATCTATTTGAAACCATGAATCGATCAATGTTAGACCACTATTAGAAACCTGGAAGCACTGAACGACCGTCCTGGTATGGAACGTTATTGTGCGCGAACGCCCTAATCGTTAGACCACTGAGCCGATACCCAACGGTGTTAATGTCTAACTTGATCAATTCACGGAGGTGAGCAACCTCATACACAGTCTTCGGTATCTACTATCTACAACCGAACAGATTGAACTTCACTGGTCACGTCTTCCCACTAGAACTCGGAGAAGACTCCTCACGAAGCCAGTCACATATGAGCAAGGGTAATTTGCATTACAGGGTTGTGAAGATTATTAAGTTACACATTTTTGAAACCATGAATCAAAGATTGAATAATTATTTTAAAAAAAGACAAAATTTTGCTCTGAAATATAATAGTAATAATTTAAGAAGTAAGTCCGCAGTGGAATCAATATGAGAATAGAAACATCAGAACAAGATTTCTCAAATACGTTTCCAATTCTTGTCTGTCACTCCTTGATGGATGATAATTTATTTTTATCTGTGATCTAATCATAATTAGATCTGACTCTAGGTAAGATATAATTTCATACTATCTGAAGATTAGGTAAGGTCTCGTTTTTTGTTGTAAGAATTCGTTAAATGTGCTAATAGCGAAGTGATGGTACATTATCTTTCAAATACACACTATATCTGAATACGAGAGGTATCGATCACTTCATGGAAGAATTGTTTTAGCAATTTATTATAACAAAGTTTTCAAATAAACACAAATAGTTATTTGCATGAGAAATACGTACATTGCTAAAAGTTCATAATGATTCCTATTGTTGAGTTCGTCACTAGGTACGCTTGAAGCTATTACGGGTTCATCTTAGTCGATAAACGCGAACGAGACAATGAATCAGCGTCCAAGTAGGCTACCTTGATCCGAAAACCACAAAACAGAAGTCTTGATTAACGTAGAAAGTATGTTCTACAAACACCCGGTAATCACAATACAATCAAGCACACAACTCTCGTTTATTTATACATTCTAGAAACGTCCATGGGAGAGTCACAAAATTAGCACATTAAAATACACAGCAGTCAATCACAGCCAAGGATTTTCCTGGTGGGAAATGAAATCTCAACGTCAGCTGATCAGCCGCTGCTGGCAAACGTGAACTCGAAAATTTAGGCATTTATCAAGCGAGTTCTGGGGATCGAACGTCTTCAACACCTATAAAACAAAATGCTGAATAACCAATATGATGATTTGAAATGTAGCTAACTAGTCTTCTACTTGTTCACAGAAGTAAAAGATTGCACACATTTGAGTATATTTTTATTATGGTTTATTTACAAACTTCAGGATGAATTACTTAAGGTTGCCGAAGTTGTTTATTAGTAAAATTAGTTCGCTTTTTTTTGTTAACTTGAAGTAAATACAGATTATTCTACTCATGTCAATAAAAATATTTTGATAGTTATATATAAGAATAAAAATAAAGCTTATATACATGAAATCAAACTTAAATTATACTGCTGTAATAAAACACAACACAAAATTATCCGAACATTAGCTATCATCATTCCTGTGTGGATTAACACATAAATATTTCTCAGTTCGATGATCTATTTACGCTTAACAATCTACACAGAAGTAATTATATCAGAGAATATTTGTTGGTATATCACTTCTCCGGATAGTCATCAACAATTAACTTTCAAAGGTGTTTGAATTTCAGAAAATATTAAGAAGTATTAACTATGGTTTATTACTGTATAGGGTGCATGATAAAGTTACATGTATACAAAACGAATATTACTTACTTATGTATTTACGCCCGTTATCTTTCACTCAGTACAGGCCGCCGGCTAGTATCCTGCAACCTATTCTATCCTAGGACCTTCTTTCAAGTTCTGAACAATCGCAATTAGTCATTTTTTTGATGACTGCTTTTAATTATATACGAAGTGGATACACAGAGGAAGAGTTATCGAGTGATTTACTTAATTGAAGATTCTCATTGTAAAAATTAGAACAACATATACAAGCGAACAATATTGTCGTTTTCGATTAGATCGTCATCAGGCTTTACTCTAATATACATGAATATTTATATGAAAATTTATGGGTCAATAATCACAATCAAATGAAACAGATTACGTCACTACAAATAAAAGGTGGAAAAGTACAAGTTTATAGTAGGAAGACAGGTGTACTGATGGTAAGTAGTAAGTATAATAAAATACGATAACAAAAGTTTTAGTCAATAGTAGGTCAAACGTGGATAAATAGACTAAAAATAATCATTACAAAACATTTAAACCATTACGTCATAAGAAGTGTGTACATAATTAGATAGTGATGATGATAAACGGAAAGAGGCAGAAAATTACCAACAAATACAGGATGTGGAAATAACGGAAGAGATAGGGGTGTCACGAAATTCTTCTGAATAAATGAATGAGGGTTGGATGTACAAATCCCTATGGCTTCTGCTATTTGTAAGAGATGGGATCGAAGTCCGCTGGGAAATGATGAAGGCATACGATAGATCACCCGAGATCTAGACTTGTCTACAATATGATTGACCCTTCATAAACTATGCTGGGAGATGTTCACTCATTTGTTGGTTAAGTTGCCTGGTAGTATGCCCGATATAGCTATCTCCACAGGAGCAGCTGGATTTGTAAATGCACACAGAGGAGGCCAACTGAGGTAACCTGTCCTTCGTTTGGGTAGACATCGCTGGTCGACTTCAGAAGATTAACGCAAGTTTGGCTGCGTTGAAAGTGCTACTAATTGCTTTCATTAATCTATCCTGAAGAGTATCGCAGGCCACACCTCCGTTGAATTGTAGTTTCATAAATAAAGACTTCTTTTGAGCGGTCGAAGTTACTGACTTCTTTTTTTTACATCAAACATATACTACCATATGAATGTGCTGGAGTAGCCGATCTCGGTCAGTGAGTTGTTGATAAAATCTGGCTCCTGATATAAAGTGCTCTGCTAGTAATGAGATATTTAAACAAATTTGTTTTGTAGCGGATAGGTGTAAAAATACAAAAGTGACTGTATTGGTAAGCAGTGGGATTTTTTCGGTGTATACTTCTACTTAGCGAGTCATCAGTGCGCCTGCTTAGTGTGACGTCAAGGAAAGTCAGCTTTTTATCATACTCCGCTTTACCAGTGAAAGTGATTTCCAGGTGTACACTGTTGAATTGTTTAAGGGGATTTTCTTCACTGATGTTCTGATCTATAATCATGAATGTTTCATTGACGTACTGGCAATATAGATCAAGTTTCTGAATAGCCTGATTAAGTGATTCATTTTCTAGCTTTGCTGTGAAGATGTCTGCTAGAATTGGGCCTAGAGGTGAGCCCATGGCTATACCGTCTATTCGTCTATAATAAGTGTTGTTGAAGACGAATTGGACGTTCATGGTACATCTTAAGAGCGATTCTTTCAGGCAAACCTCGGGCAAGCCAATGTTGATTTGTTTTTCTGTGATTTACTTGTATATGAATTCAATAGTCTCACGAAATGGTACGTTAGTAAGCGAAGATACTACATCCAGCGAGATCGTATTTTTCGTACTCGAATTCATATTTTTACCTTTGGAAGTGAAATCGCAAATATCTTTTACACTCCTTCGTACAAATGATTTATGCAAAGGATCAAAAATTCTCACTAGCTACCTCGCAATTTTGTTGTGCGGAGAATGGTATATATCTAGAACCGGGCGTAGAGGAAGACCCAATTTATGAACTTTGGGCAAACCGTATAGTCATGGTGTATAAGATCCAGTCAGTTTAATTGAGTCATGAATTTCAGACGCAATTATTCCCATTTTCTTTAGTTCCTTAAGAGAATTCGTCACTTGTTTTTCCACTTTTTATTGATGTCATTATTACTGGTAACTTTTTGAAATTTGCTGGGATCATTAAGCATTCCTTCCATTTTATCGAAGTAATCGTTTTTATTCATCAGAACCATACCTCCTCCCTTGTCTTGTTTGCTCATAATCAAACTTTCATCTTTTCTGAGTTTTGTTAAAGTGTCACGGTGCAGTTTGGTGCAAAGGTGATTTGTGGAACGCTGACTATTCATGTGTTGTTGGCAGCTATCTACTAACGTTGTCTTAAACCTAGATAGATCCTCCACTGAGACAGGGATCAAGTAAGTTGTTTGTGAAAATAAATTCTCAAACTGCATAGCGGTAACAAGTTGATTGATTTTCTGCCCACTATAACAAAATTTAGGCCCCAGGGACAACTGAATTACATCAAGTTTCATATAAATATTCATGTATGTGTTAGAGTAAAGCCTGATTGAAAAGAATATTGTTCGCTTATATGTGTTGTTCTAATATACTTAATTAATACCTAAGCTGGCCAGAGGAATATGTGTGTAGGCTGTAATATGTGATCAAGTATACATAGTCATGAAAACAAAACTGTAATAATACAGAGATATAGACATAATGTTAATAAACAAACGAGTTAATGAGTTAATCGAAAGGCCTAATAAAATGAACATATACGGAGTCACGTTTCCGTAGACTGATGTTACATAAAGGTCATGAAAATATTATTTAGTAAATAAAAATCTATGTCATGTATGAGTCTAGTTTAGAATAGATAAAAACTTGTATGCAGTTCAATCAGTGTACATTACTGCGATTACATTTTAAGTCAATGATCAGACGGTGAGATTACTACTTACTTACTTACTTACGTCTGTTACGCCCGATGGAGCATAGACCAACGATCAGTATTCTCCAGCCTACTCTATCTTGAGTACCTCTTTCCAGTTCTGTCCACTTTTTGTT